GTGCAAAGCAAATGCTTAGAGCAATGCTTAAAGCGAAATCGGTAAAAGATGAGAGAGGAGAGTGGTTGCAGCAACAGCTTATAAGTGAGAGCGTTACTGTACAAAAAGTTACAATAGCGAGAGCGAAAGAACAGTTATTGAGAGTTAGGTGATAGAGAGAGTGATAGACGGCAATAACTACGACAAAGAGCGGCTAAATGTAATGAGAGGGCGTACTTACGACAAGCAACAACACAAACACACGACTAACCGACGCACAAAATTTATTAAATAGATCTGGAAAGCCTCCTTGGTTTACCAAGGAGTTATCCAGTCTAAAAAATTTAAAATCAAGACTTTATAAAAAATTTCAAGAAGTTGGTTCTCCCTCTTCTCTTTCTCACTATGTAATAGCTCGGTCAAATTTCTCCGTTCTTAACGCTCAATGCTATAAAAACTACCTATCTCGATGCAGGATACGATTTTCACAGGAAACTAAACAGTTTTACAGCTTCGTAAATAGTAAGCGTAGAACGTCCGTACATCCATCCTCGTTATCTTTTCTCAATATATCAGCAAACAATGATCAGGCAATTGCCGATCTTTTTGCCAAATTTTTCCAAACAACCTATTCTCATGAAAGCTACTCTGGTCAGCCGTATCCATACAGTTTACCAAGGTCGAATGGCATCTTCAGCCCCTTGTTAAATGAAAGCTCACTGCTTCATGATCTTCGACTAGTGAAGCCGGTGTTTTCACCAGGTCCCGACGGAGTTCCCGGCTGTGTACTCAGGTACTGTGCCGACGCTCTGTGTGGACCCTTGCTTAAACTATTCACCCTATCCATTAACTCTTCATGCTTCCCCCCCATCTGGAAGGAATCTTTTATTATTCCGCTCCATAAGAAAGGTAGCAAGTCTGATGCAAATAATTATAGAGGTATATCTAAGTTATCCGCTATTCCTAAAATGTTTGAAAAAATTTTAACTCCGCACTTGCAACATCTCTGCAAATCACTTATATCTCCGTCCCAGCACGGATTTATAAGGCGACGATCAACAACCACAAATTTATTAGAGTTTACCTCTTTTATCATTAAGGGCTTTCAAGGTAACTTGCAGACGGATGTCATTTACACTGATTTTAGTAAAGCATTTGATTCTGTAAACCATTCCCTTTTAGCACAAAAACTTGACCTTTTAGGCTTTCCGCCTAATCTTTTGAGATGGATTTCTAGCTACCTTTGTTCTAGGTCTCAGAGAGTCCTCTTCAAAAACTCCTTCTCTTCACCTGTTAAGGTTACTTCTGGAGTACCACAGGGCAGCCATCTAGGCCCTCTACTATTCACACTCTTTATTAATGATCTGCCTTCAGTATTAACAAACTCTCGAGTACTCATGTATGCGGATGATGTTAAACTTTGTGTCCAGTATAAGGACATTTCATTTCACTCTCGCTTGTAATCCGATCTCAATAACTTTCAATCATGGTGTTGTGCAAATATGTTACACCTAAATGCCTCGAAATGCAAATTAATGACATTTCATCGCTCCAGCCCCCTATTGGCTCCTTATAGCCTCTGCGGTGGTTCTCTTGAGAGAATTACCTTGGTTGATGATCTTGGTGTTAAATTAGACCCAAAGTTAAAGTTTTCTGAACACATTTCTACCATGGTAAATAAGGCCATGGGTGTGCTTGGGTTTATAAAGAGGTGGTCAAAGGAATTTGACGACCCCTATATAACGAAGACTCTCTATATCTCGCTTGTTCGTCCGATTTTAGAATACGGCTCTTGTGTATGGTGCCCCCAGTACAAAGTACACCAGGACCGTATAGAATCAGTGCAGAAAAACTTTTTACTTTTTGCTCTGCGTGGCCTTAACTGGGATGCAGGTGTGAGACTGCCATCTTATCCTCGTAGATTGCTTTTAATAAACCTTCCAACCTTAGTTAGTCGTAGAAAAATGCTTGGTGTGATTTTTATGCACAACCTGATCAAGGGTGATGTAGATAGCCCTGACTTGTTGAGCCGCATAAACTTTACGATTCCTATTAGATCTACTAGAAACTTCATTCCTCTTTTCCTTCCGCTTTGTAGATCGAATTATTCCTTGCACGCCCCTCGGTCGGTTGGGCGGGAGGAGGGCTGCGTTTCTGCCTGGGTTCCGCGCGTAACAGGCTTTGGCTTGGTGTCGCATGGGCCACTTGATGGTGCAGTCATTGCATATCAACGTCCAGACAATAAGTTGTGTTTTTACACAATTATCAGGCATGCACCCGCGGTAAAAGTATGATTTTAATATAAGTTAGTTAGAGAGTTAAATTATAGACAAAAACACCGGCTGTTTAAGTTAAACAAAAGGAAAATGCGGAGCGCAAAACAAAAACACGTCTGGTCACTACGAAAGAGATCGAACGATGAGGAGATATATTAGGAGATATAGCACTTATGTCTTAATATGAATTCGGTCACAGTTATATCATTAGGCGAGGCGTTAAGTCTAGAGCAGATGTTGTTTAACTTCGGATTCGGCGGATGTACTAACGGCGTGGCATGGCCGCTCGGAGTAGCAAATGATTTTTATGTTTGTAAGTGAGAAGCAAGAGGTTGCTGTTATCGGTATGGGGGATTTTCCATCTAGAAGATTCACTAAATAGTTTGAAGCCAAGGAATTGTGTTTCCAAGGTCAGGAACTTCTTGTTTAGAACGATAAATTGCTTCCTGACATCCTGAAAACCAGTACGAGTCTCTCTCAAACATTACCAAGTCATCCGTTTTGAGATGAGATCGCGTAGCCATTCGCACCACCAGCACATTTTATATGGGCGACATTGTCTCATTGCCAGCAGCTGAGGAATGAATCGCCGACTATGTTGCCACCGAATTCGCATTTTATTGCATTGCAGATAAAAGCCGTTTTTGAAATCAGTTGTACCCGAAGAAAAACGCAAAGTGGGAGCGCAAGCGATATACGAGCGACGATCTGCAGCAGGGCTTAGAAATTGATTTTATACCCGTACTCAAAAAGAGTTAAGGGGTATATTGTATTTGTGGTAAAAGTGGATGTGTGCAACGCAGAGAAGGAAACGTTTCCGACCCCATAAAGTCGATATAGCCATATCCATCTGTCCGTCTTGATGAGCGCCTAGACCTCAGAGACTATAAGAGCTAGAGCAACCAAACACTACTACAAGTATATTTCAAAATTTCGCCCCGCCCCCTTCCACCACCACAAAGGACGAAAATCTGTAGCAGGCACAATTTTAAAGATACGATTATTATAGCCAGAATAAAGAAATTCATTTTTAGTTGCTTCTCCCACCTCCTCCAGCACGACACCACGCTATTCATTTTCTTTCTCGCTCGCAACCACTCTGACCTGTGCAATGCGCGGCCTTTGCGAAGAAGATGTAGAGTCTACATTGTGTATGTAGAATCTACATTTCAGATGTGCAATCGATGTAGGTGTAGATAACAGCTGTGTCAAAAAAAATTTAAAATGTAAAATTTTTTAAAATTCTATTTAAATCATAAGCTCAAATACTGAATCAGTACAGGTAAAAAGTAGAGCCGCGTCCACAGAAGCGACTCCCACGTTCCTTCTCGTTTTTTTTTTAATTTTACAAATTTTGTTGTGACCTTTTTTTCAGAGGTAGCGCTTCTTTTAACTTAAGTGTCTCACATCTGGTTTAAATAAATTTAACATTCTGAGCCCAAGCACTTCATGGTTTTAGCTTACCGTCTGGGAAATATTAAGCTTTCAAATGCAAAAATGATGATTTTGGTGCTGTAATTTCTACGAAATTTTAACTTTAAAAACTCAGGAAAAGTCGAATACAAAATATACTTTATATTTTTTTATATAGGTGCATTAATTCAGTGTCGTTTAAGGTATTGTTTACTAAAATTTATGTAGAGACGGCTGATCTAAAATTGGTTGACCAAACCTCCGAAAATCACATTTTACCGCTTGAAACGTTAAGTTAGGTTAGGTTGTCCCGGACGGGCCTCACGGGGCCACGCATAGGCCAATATGGCCCTTAGTTGTCCGGATTGGTGCGTATGGACCTTCTGAGTGTTTTTACGCGGTTTCGAAATCCGTGAGGATCGAGGAGAATTTTCTGTAGCGTCAGCGACCTCGGTGCATCCTGGGAAGTGGGCTTCCATTAGTGCTGTTAGGGCTTCTTCGCTGCCCTCAGTCCATTGTCCATCATTTCGTTTCAGCTGACTCTGTATGGCGGGTTGCTTTGATAGCAGCTTCCGGAGTCTGGCCGTTTCTGGGACTTTCTCGATATTGGAGCAGAAGTTCCTCCAAGAGTTTCTTTGTGCCTCCCTGAGTAGGGTTTTGTATTCCTCATTGATTATCTCGACGTTCGCCAGTTTGGCGATTTTGAAGAATTCTTTGAGGTTATTTCTTTGAAGCGATAAGTCCCGGTTCCACCAGAGTGGTCTTGTTCTCTTTTTCGTTCTCGAGGGTGGGTATGCTGCGTGGTACGCATCCAGTAGCTCCTTGGAGAGGGTCTCTAGGGACGTTTCTATTTCTTCCGGGGATATCACTGTGCCCGGACGAGTCGCGAGCTTCGAGGTAACTGTCCGGGGGTTTCTATAGACAGTTATCTTCGGAGAGTGTTTAAATTCGCACTTAAACTGAATGTACTTGGGGTCTGAGAAGGATGGTCTTTCAAGGACTCTCCAGCCAGATACCAAAGTACTGTTCCCCGTTACGAGTGTTAGATTTAGGACGTTAGACGAGGTGGGGCCTACGAAGGTGTGCTCCTCCCCACGTTTGCTACATCTAGGTTAGTGGGTAGTATAAAGTCTAGAAGTGACTCACCTCTTTCGTTGATATCGGGGCTTCCCCACACGCTATGGTGGGCATTGGCGTCCGTACCAACTATGAGTTGCTGGTCTTTCGGACTGGCTTCCGCCACCAGACTCCTTAGCTCCTCCGGTGGAGCTGGCCTGTCGTTTGCCATATAGCAGGATGCCACCATAAGGCGCTTGTCCTCGATTTCAAGCATCACCACTGCCAGGTCTTCAGTGCTGTAATGAGACATAAGATAAGCATGGATGCCCTTTCGTACAAGTACGGCGGTTCTGGTCATGCTTACCGATGGTGGGTAGAAAATATTGTAATTGGAGGACTTTAGTCCGGCCACAGCATTGCCAGAGGCAAGCCATGGCTCCTGGACCAAAGCTATGTCGACGGGCCCTTGCTCCAAGGCAATGAGGAGCTCCGCCGACGCGACGTTGCTTTTATGCAAGTTGAGCTGCAGCACTCTCAATGTGGGAGGCTGGATCAACTGCACTGGACGGGTTGACTATTATAGTCAGGTCACCGTCCTCGTCCTCTGCGGCATCAGAGTCGTCCAGCGCAAGATCCTGGGCGGCCTCCACGATGGACTCCAGACCTAGGTCCTTCTCCACCTCGCCTGCCTGCAGGGTGTGCGCGTCCTTGTCTTCGGGGTGGCGCTTTTTGAGACGTAGGTAGACATTGCCTACGCCCCATGCCATCTTCGCGAATCTCGGGTAGAGGATGTCCTCTGCCTCCTTGTTGATCTGGATGATCATGTGCTGGCCCCCCCTCATTGGGTAACGGGCTACCAGCGTGCAAGATCTTCCAGTCAGCCGTTGGCACCTCTGTATTCTGCCTCTGGAGGAGTTTCAGTGCTCGGTCTCCCTGGACTGAAATGGCGAAGAGCACCTTCGCCTTTGGGATGGAAGGGATCATCTCCCTGTCCACTACCTCCAGCTTGGTCCCCTCCCACAGAGCTTCCAATTTGGGCACCACTTGCAACAGCCACTTCCTCGTCGGGTCATCATTACATTTGAGGATCTTCACCCCGTTCAGCCATCCCGCACCGTCGAAGGTGGGCATGGCAGCGTCCGGCTCGTCCTCCATTCGCGCGAAAAGGCAGTCTACCAGCTGGGCGTGGACCTGTTTCCACTGCGCCGCCGTCATCTTTCCATTTTCGTCGCTGCGGTCGATCACCGTCGCTCACCTTGGCCTTCTGCTTGGGCTTCTTCGTCTTCGTAGGTTGAGGGATAACCACCTTGGGCCCGCGTTGCCGCTTGCCCGCCGGAGTGTCCTTGGCACTCTCGATCGAGCGTTGCCTTTTGGTGGCCATCATCTCCTCAACCCTATTGGCGAATTCGCCCTTCGTCGCCTTTAGCTGAGACATCTGCGCGTAGTGGAGACGCCCCTCTTCTACCTTTTGCTCAGCCCAGGCTAATTTTGGACTTCTCCTCTTGGGAGCTGTCCTCTTTGCCTTGGCTTTGGATTTTTGGGCCTTAGCCTTCATCCCCTCTCTAAAACGCTTCGGCCCTTCCCTACGCAGGGAGCTGATATCTGGTTCAGGCGAGCGGAGAAGGCTCTCTTCCTCCGTTCTGCTTACGCTGAGCACGCTCTCCAGGTCCGAGTCTGTTTCGACCACGGCACCCGTGCGGCTCAGCTTGCAGAGAGGCGTTTTGGTGGCAGTAGCTTTAAAACTAATATGACCTGCTCCCGCCATATCAGAGTTGTGACCGCTGGCGACACGCAGAGAGGATTGCTCCTCCCCGTGCCTGCCGGTGGTAGCAGTCACGCTTTCCACCGACGTTTGGACTGACATCCCAGTCCCTGCTTGATGCTTACTCCGGTCCATGTGGTTAATATTTATCAGGGGGACCACCCCCTAGCGTTTTATGCCTGTCCGCCAGGCACCTCCAGCCATGGCCATGGTTCAGTTCCCCCAATTTTATATCGGGAAGACCTGGACCTGGCCTTAGCTAGACACTGCATTACCTCGGACAGAGCAAACGGCAATACCCCGATCCGGGGTAGAAGGGAGGGTTCTCTAGGAGGGTTCAGCTGGAGGATTTTCGCCTGGCCAACGTTGCTGCCACAACAAATTCAAAAACCTGCAGGGCGGATATCCACAAAGAGTAATAGGTTAGGTTAGGTTGACCCGGACGGCCCTCATGGGGGCCACGCATAGGCCGATATGGCCCTAAGTTGTCCGAACGGGAGGTGCATGAACCTTCTTTACTTTAATGAGGTTTCGAAGTCCTTGAGATCGAGGTGTTTTTCACGAAGGCAAGTAGTTCCCCTGGTGTCCTCCTGGAGGCCTTTTCCAGTGATGCCATCACCGGGGTAGCGCCGGGCAGCAGCAGTTTCCTGCAGTTGCCACTGTTGGTGATGCCTAGTTTAACTGCGTGTGCTGCAGTCAGACAGTGACCTGTGAGTATTCCCACTAACATTCTGCAGTCCTTCCGTTGTAGGTGCAGTAATTAGTGGCTAAGTTTACCATTGAGCTCCTTACACATGGTTTTCGAGATTCTGCAGGTGGTGGTACTCCACCTGCTTCTAGCCTTTGTGTCCGCTCGTTTCTCAAGAGCGCTTTGTAGCGTTCTAAGGGAGACAGGCACGTTCTCGGTTCTGTCAATCGCCAGCCCGACGCCTTCTTTAGCCAGTACATCTGCTATCTCGTTACCTTCGATACCCTGGTGGCTGGGAACCCAATAGATCCGCACTGGATTTGTCGTGGTTAGGTAGTCTAATGCTTCCCTGCTCGCCAGGACGCTTCTGAACCTGACCGCTGACGACTGCATGGATCTTATCGCCGCCTGGCTGTCCACGAACAGGTTTACCACGCCGTGTGAACGATCGATGGACTGAGCCGCCTCCGCCGCTTTCCGTATTGCATAGACTTCCGCCTGGAATATGCTGCATTGGCCCGGTTGCTTATAGGACAGCCTTATCGCAGGGTCTGTACAGTATATGCCTGCTCCTACTCCTCCTTCCCGACCCCTTTTCCAATCGTCGGGTCCCATGAATGAGGTTGTTTTTACATCCAGGCAAGTTTGGGGGATCCTGTAGTCAGATATACTGTCATGTCTCGGCCAATTGAACTGTGCCCGAATCCCTGCAGAGACATGTTGCCTGATGCTACTAAGCGTTATGCCGCCTTTCCTGCAGTCAGTTGATCGTGGATGTCCAGGGGGTCGATTCCGATTATGGTTTCGAGTGCTTTTGTTGGGGCTGACCTCAGCGCTCCCGTAATGCAGAGCAGTGCCTGCCACTGGGTTCTTTCCATAAGCTTATTGTACGTCTTCTTTTCTGTCGCTTACGACACTAGGACTCCGTACAGCAGAGTCGGTCGCACCACCGAGATGTAGATCCAGTGCATTAGAGCAGGGGACAGGCCCATGTACTGCTAAGCATCTTCTTGGATGCGTATAGTGCAATGGTAACCTTCTTCACCCTTTCCACTACATTGGGCCTCCATTCCAGCTTGCTATCCAGTACTATGCCGCGGTATTTGTGTTGAGGCACGGGTGTTGAATATTTCGAAGCACAAAAGGGTAGACAAATTTATATAGCATTCCAATTTATTATGTGAGTTTAATAATAATAATAAGAGAGAGCTTTAAGAAACTTCGTGTTCTTGCCTCGCTGGTTTATCCTCAATTATCTCTCTGTTTTAGAGTTGCCGAATGGCGGTGCTTATGCATGGTGGCGTTGCCGTATGCGCCTACGTGGCGTTATGGTTTAAATTTCAGCGCTACTCTTTTAGGTTTAAGTTTCGTCGGCAAAGGTTAGTGGTCTGGAGCTAATAATAGTTTCAGCTTCCGTTAGAGTGGCTCGGAGGGTCTCGTCATTAAAATTATTTGATGGGCAGATCGATTTTGGGGACAGTCTTCACAGATCTAACTGGCCGTTCCCACGCTCCAACCATGTGGTGTGCAGCTGGTGGGTTGAAGCGCCATTTAATAGCTTCGTAGCGGATGGTGATTTCATCAAAGTCGATTTCCTTAAGTTCCTCCCTTACGATCTTTTCAGTAGCTTTGAAGTTGGTCTTATTGTCGGAGAAGATTTCTTTTGGAGTTCCACGGAGGGCCATGAAGTTCTTCAGGCACATTATACAAGAGTTTACGTCAAGCTTGTGTGCCACTTCTAAGTGTACTGCTTTTAATGTGAGGCATGTAACGCTTCCAACGTTCACTAATATGGGGCCGAAATAATCGACACCCGTATATGTAAATGGTCTTTCGACACAAGCCAGTCCGGCAGGTGGTACAGGTGCCATTTGGGGTACTTTTGGTGTCGAATTTTTGACATTCCTTACGCACAGTTTTGTACAATACTCGTAGACGTGGTATATAAAATGTGGCAATCTGCTCTTCCTTGTACACGTAGGATGTCTTCTGCGTCTAGGTTAACGTTCAGAGCAATTAATAGGCTTGACTTGTCCACAGCTGAATGGTGTTTAAGGGCGCAGATTTCCATACAATATGCCTTTGACTGCGACTGTTTAAATAGCCACGACTTTGCTGCATGCTATCATGACTTAGGAATTTTGGCAGTGATTTTTGGATGTATAGGATGAAGGTAGCTACGGCTCTATATAGACGCCTCCAGTCCGAAAAGTAATCCACTTCAAAATCAAAATGCTTAAGTTTCGTTATTATGAAAACATGCTTACGTAATTCGGATTGGTCGTTATTTTGTTGAAAAACGACATCTTGGTGTAGCCATTTATCTTCCGATTGTATAAGGAATTGTGGGCCTTGGATCCACCTGGATGCATCGGGAGTTTTGAAGAATTTTGTAGCTGAGTCTGCAACGTTTTCCTTCGTAGGAATCCAGCGTCACTGTTAACGGCTGGTGTTATCTATGATCTCACCAACTCTATGCATAACAAAGGATTGAAATTTTCGAGGGTCCTTAGTTTACCATTGAAGAACGGTTTTCTATGCGAAGGTAGGGGCCTGCGGCATAGGCGTCTTCACTTGCGTCTACGAATGTATGCAAGTCGATCTGGTCTGCATTTGGCAGCAGGTATGAGTAGTAGCGAGGGAATTCCAGTTCTCCAGCTTGTGGGGTCGAATACGGACATCAATACTTGTAAGGCTTCGCGTTTTGTTTCACCATTCAAAACGTCTCTTTTCAATCTTGCAAATCTGAAAATATACATAGAAACGTCTCTGGAGGGTTCCCAGTGATTCTTTTGGGTGTTGGTTATACAATTGTCGTTCTCCAAAGTATTGAAGTACAGGGGTCGAGTTGGAGCTCCAGTTTCTTATGGTGAATCCTCCTTTGGCATGGATATCTCGGACTGCGGATGGAATTGCAATTGCTTCATCGTCGTCTTCGTAGCTGTTAATGAGATCGTCTACGTAGTGCGCTTTTGTAATGGACTCGTATGCTCGTGGATTTAGATTTTTGAATTCCTGTGCGTTTTTGTCGCGAACATGGTGAGCAATGCAAGGGGCGCATCTAGTTCCAAATGTCATTGAGCGCATGACGAATATTTTTGAAGTCTGATTATCCTTGTGGAGCCATAAAAATCGTGGAGCATGAATGTCGCTATCTTGAATCAATGCCATTATAACATTGGTTAATGGAACAAGATAGTCAGGTCTGTTTAAAATAAAATCATTAAGTGATTTTCCATGGCTCTTGGCTGCTGCATCCCAAACTAGCCTTATTTTACTTGGTTTATTCGGACTTAAAGCAATAAAGATCGGTAGATACCATACGCGATCCATCTGGTCAGCTGCGTTTTTGGGGCTTAAGTTCAAATGCGTACCCTTTTGATATCAGATTATCAATTTGGCCCTGCATTTTTTCGAACAGTTCTAGATCTTTTCTGATTTTAGCTCATAGACATTCAAGGCGATTCAAAGCGGCGGAGTAGCTTTCCGGCAGAATGGCTTCCTTATCTCGCCAAAGCAGGACGACTTGATAATGGCCGTTAACCTTTTTACAAGTATCCTCGAGAATACTCATAGCCTTTGTTGTTATCTTCAGAGCTCCCGTGTTGTGCTTGGATCTACGTTAAAAATCTCCTTAACCGCTTTTCGATTTCACTCCAATTACAGCTACAATGATGCAGGGAAATATGTCTGTTTGTATTAATTGTTCCTTGGATGATCCATCCTAGTGTAAACTTTGATGCGATGAACTCATGAGTACTCTGATCTTTGGTTTGAATACTCGTGCAGTGATATCATGTCGATCACTTGATGTTTGTCCTGCCAGCAACAGATTCGAAAATTCAAACAAACTATGTTGGCGGCGTTTCCTTTAGTAGCGATGGCATCACGCAAGTGGATGTACCCTTCTGATCGTAACTTCGACTTATTAAAACGAATGAAATTGAGTCGCTCCGTTCCGATTTTTACGTACATGTCGAAGCAGTACTGTTGAAACAACCGGCGTAATTGTCAACCTCTTGCAGAATCATCAATCGATACGCATAAAACTTCATTGCGCTGACCTTACTATTCGTTTATTCTCCTGAAATATTAATTTATACAT